AAAAAGCAAAAAACAAACAAAAAAACCTGATGTTATCAAAAGCTGGGGATACAAATACAACCAAAATAGAAAGACAGTCCCTTCCCTCAAGGAGCTTACATTCTAACTGAGGAAGGCAAAACATAAAAGGAAGCTTAAAAAGAGTATGGGGGAGGAGGAGGTACTGGGGAAAGGGTGTGTTGTCCAGGGACTGAGGGATGACTGGGGCCCTTCCCCAAAATGGAGGTTCTGGGACAAAACCTCATCAATGGAAGAAAGGGCAGACGAGAGTAGTACAACTAGGGCCCAATTAGTGAGAATAATAACTCTCTGGAAGTGGCTGAATTATTTGAATTTGTATTGCATATTTCCATTGGGCTAGAACCAATTACCATATTTTACATAATTATAATCTCTAATAATACAAATTCAAATATCAACAGATTTGTTATTCACACTAATTGAAACCTAGCTGTACTAGTGGACTTCAATGTCCCTCTCTCAGAGTCAGAAAAATAAATAAAAATCTTTTTGTTGAGTATTCACTGGTAGTTAGCCCTCTAATTTCCTTAGAGTTCAGGGTGGGGGAGGGGGAGGAAAATTAGAATCTCTTGCAATAAACAATGTGAATATGGGTGTGATGTGCAAGAAAAAAAACTTCTTAATAATTAGAGCTATACAAAGGTAGAATGGGCTGTAAATAATAATTAAATAAATAAGGAGTTCCCAGTCACTAAGGGTCTTCAAGTAGAGTCTGGACAGCCACTTGTAGAGGATTTTGTAGAGAGAATTCCAAAGTTTAAAATATCACAAAACTCTACATACACTCAGACTCAGAGATGTCACCAATAGGACTATCATTCAAGGTGGTCAAATACAAAGAGGAAGGTACCATATATATAAATTGATTTAGAGGAACTTTTTTTGTAATTGAGTTCCCTTTGGTTTTCCCAAGGAAGTCCTTAAGCCTATAGAAAGGCAGTGTGTCCCTGTATTAATTATCCAGCAAGAGAGTACTGCATGAGTTATTCACCAAATGGAACTTTATTTAAATTACCAACATAGCAGGCTGTCAGTTTTTCTCAGGAGTGCAGGAGTGTGTGTGTGTGTGTGTGTGTGTGTGTGTGTGTGTGTGTGAAAGAGAGAGAGAGAGAGAGAGAGAGAGAAGGAGAGAGAGAGAGAGAGATAACTTTTCCCTGTCCACTAGATAGCTCTTGATCTATAAATGCCTAAGCTTCTCCTCTGACCACAAACCCACACATCAGTGGAGGTGCTAAGCAGTTTGGGCTAATCCTTAATGGCCAAAATCAGTCTAGGATATGAAGTAGAATATTGCTTAAAAGATCAAATCTACTATTTGTAATATGCTCATGAAACCACATTTTGTCTGGGCTCCCCTCTCTCTGGTCATAGCCTCCTGAATTCACAAGACTCAGGGACTTAGCATATTGTGATCATATCATCTATTGTACATAGAATGAAATGGAAAGGAAATAGACCAAGTACTCCTATGTGGAACTATATGTTTCCAGTAATCTCCTGCTGACCCTTCCAGATCTTTGACTATAGGGCCTAGGAGACCACCTGGCCACACATACCAGCAACTAGTGGTAAAGGAAGAAAGAAATCAGCTGTCAATATCCTATTTCAGGATTTTGGATTAGGAACAAGTAGGAAAGACAGTGAGAAAAATCACCTTCCCTCATCTTACCAGCCAAGAGCTTGCCAGTCTTCTCACCTCACCTCGTCATCTCTGGCTGTCTCACTTTCAGGATCTGAACCTCCTCCATGGCATTAGTCCCTGGCTGTCTTGTTCTCCAGGCATTATGGTTTCAATGAATCACTGGTCATGTTCTCTGTGGACCTTCATCTGTACCCATGGACTAGCTGCTCACCCTAATCTCTCCAAGAAATCCAAGTTGGAGGTTAGCAGAAGGAAGAGAGGAAGCCAATCTTGTACACCACAGTATACACATTCCCACTTTTCCTCTCAGAGGACTTCTCTTTTGCAAGGGCGAGTTCACTGAAATCTCTAGTGAAGGGATCCCAGAAGGGCAATCACCCTCTAGTGGGCCAGGGTCATCAGAAACTGCTCTACCAGTCTTCCTCTCAGTCATTGCCCTGAGTCCAGGGGCAAACACTACAAAGAGATAAGAGGGCAAACAGGAGCACATGTTACAGTTGCAAAGAATTGAAAAAGAAGTGGGTGCATATTGATTGGGGGGAATGATAGACTAACAGAATAAATCATGGCCTATGACTATAATGGGATATTGTGGCGCCTTAAGAAATGATGATTATGAAAACTTCAGAGAAGCTTAGGAAGACTTAAACAAACAGATGCAGTGCAAAATGAATGCAACATGGAGAACAATTTACATGATAACCACAATAACATAAAAAATAACAGTTAAAGACTTCAAAACTCTAATCAGTACAGTGACCACTGGGGACTCCAGAGGACTAATGGTGAAGCATGTTTTACACTGATAGACTACAGGTGAATGAATGAAAAAGCATTTTTTAAAGTGCTTACTGTGTGCCAAGTATTGTGCTAAGTAAATAGGAAAAATGGTATAGCCCTTGCTGTCAAGCAGCTCATAATCTAAGTGCATCTGCAAGATGGATGGCAAGGCCCAGGGTCCATCAGTCTATGGGAATTGGTCAGATGATAATGCCTGGGGTCTTTAAGATATAGAGGCAGGGAAAACAGTAAGGCCTAGTGGTCCTCTATCTGCTCAGAAGTCATAGAATTGGTCATTTTCAATCTCATCCAAGCCTTGTGAACATCAAGCAGCCCTGAAGGGTTCTGGGCACCCTGATAGGGGGAACATGGAGGAAGGAAAGGTGACAGGGTATGACTAGTGATGGTAGGTCTTCCCCACACTCTGCCTTGGATGGGTTCTAAGATACCTGGGGCCCATGGCCAGGGGAGTAGGGGTGAGGTGGGAAGCAAGGAGGGTAGAACATTCCCAGTGGGAAGTATGTCTTCCCATCTCTCCGTTGTCCTGGATGGATTCTAGGACCAGGAAGACAGGGGGAATGGGTGAAGGTACAAGACCAGGCAGTAAGGGTGTTCCCCAATACTGATAGGTGCAGAATGAGACATATATTACCAGAGAAGATCAATGTGAAAATTTGTTTTTCCTTGACTCTACTGATTTGTTGCAAGGCAAGGTTCTATGGTGGAATGGGAACTGAGGAACTGGGGGACACTGGAAGAGCAGAAAGATGGTTGGGAGACACGTTGGGTGGTCATTTAGAAGGAGCAGTTTTGAAGAAAGAAAAAAAGAAAGAAAGAAAGAGGAAGGAAGAGAGAAAAGAAAGGAAGGAAAGAAGTAAAGAAAGAGAAGAAAATGAAGAGAAGGAAAGAAAGAGGAGAAAAAGAAGGAAAAAAAGAAAAAGAAAGAAGGAAGGAAGAAAAGAAAAGAGCATCAATAAAACTTTTTTAAAAATTAAAGAATTGAGGTTTAGGTTAGACCAGATACCCACTGAGATTCTTTTGGACTGTGTGACGTCATCTCCCTCAGCCTCAGTTTCTTTAAATGTAAAATGAAGGTTGAACTAGATCTAAAGTCTCTTCCTGTTCTAAATCCCATGATCTTAGGATGTTGTAGTTAACTTGGGTCTGATTAGTCCAGAGGACCCATTGTCTGGCTTCAGGAATAGTAGACTATAATAAGCTCCTTAGGGGATTTTTTTTTTCTTTCACTTTCCTATGGCAGCTAGATGGGATAGTGGATGAAGCACTGAATCTAGAGTCAGGAAGACCTGAATTCGAATCCAGCCTCAGACACTTATTAGCTGTGTGACCCTGGGCAAGTCACTTAACCTTTCTTAGCCTCAGCTTCTCATGTGCCTCATGAGTTCCTCAACAACAGTACCTACCTCACAGGATTGTTGGGAAGACAAAACGAGATAATATTTGTGTAATGCTAGTTGTGTCTGATTCTATCTCAACAAAGATGCTCGAGTCGTTTGCCTTTTCTTTCTCTGGTGTGTCCCCATTTTCTGCGCTCTATCCACTACCACCAAGCTATCCCTATATAAATGTTAGCTATCTTTAGTTCATATTAGTATCCCCAGGGACTAGGTGCTTTGTATGTAGTAGGCACTTAATAAATGGTGGCTGAATTGAATTGAGAACAATCATCACTTTCTGCACTGACAGGCACTGATAATTTGTATTTATTTTTTGTGTTCAAAGCTCTGGCCTTTCCACTGGGTCCAGGGAGGACGTTGGCACTTCCATGAACATTAATTCACCATATTACTGTGGCTGTCCATTCAGAGTCATCGATTGGTCGTGATGATGTATTAATTATTTTAATAATAGTTCGTAGAACTTTACTGTTTACAAAGTCTTGCTGGCAACATTCTTGCAGGGAGGCATGATTATTCTTATTTGGGGATGGAGAAACCGTCAGAATTTACCCAGTATCACACAACCAGTAAGCTGCCAAGTTGAGCCTCACCTCAAAGCCCTCCAGGCAGAGAATGGGACCTGAGGAAAGACTGAAAGGAAGAGGGGTGGCTAAAAGGAGCTAGGGAGTCTAGGAGGAAAGAGAGCTGAGCTGAAGGCCAGGAGTAGATAAGGAGTCTTGGGGCTGAAAGTACTGGGGCCAGAACTAAATTCCTGGGAATGGGGGGGGACAGAGGAAGCGGGGGAGTGAGGATGCTGGAAGACGAAGCATTAAAATATAATAGAAAGGATCTTGCTGGAATGTGCTAGGACCCTTGGCCCAGGATCATCACTGAGGCAAAATGACCCCCATAAGCAGTCAACCTTGGGACCAGGGTCAGTGTCCCTGGGTCTGGGCTTCCAGACTGTGAATGCCATTGGCCCTGAAACCCTCCTGTCTTCTGTCACTTTAAAGACATCCAGGTAACTCCAGGGAGCCAAGGACAGAGGACACACGGCGCGAATTGGCATGATGTCCAGGATCTCTCCACCTTTGCCCCAGCCTGAACCTACTGCATGAGGTCACTTATTCAGGCTGGGAAAGGAGAGCCTTTGAGCTCTACTATGGAGTATGGTGGGGAGAAGACCGAGACACTGGGGAGCGGGTGACACTCAGGGTGAGAACTAGGGCTAGGGGAACCTGGAGGAGGGTTGAACATTGGGAGAGGGGGAAACACTAAAGGGTAGGAATGAACAGTTTCGTTTTTGCCTTTTTGTCCCCAGAGACTTGCATGGTACAAGACACAGCAGGTTCTTAATGTTTGTTGAACGGAAAGGAGAGGAGCGAAGGCTACAACAATATTGGGGTAAAGGGTCGGCCAGGCCCCGGGGAAAAGAGTGTCAGATGGGGATGGTCTCAGTCTTAACTCCTGGCATTAGCACCTTCTTGTCCACTCCCTTTGACCAGCTCATACCATGACGGTAACCAAGAGTTCATCATCATTGTCATCACACACCGAGTATTTTCTGAACCTCTAAATCTTGGGAGAAAGACGGAAGGCCATCTCAAGTCTCCCTTCTCAGGTCTGACCTCCCCTCTGCTCCCCCTCCTCTTTTCCCCAATGACGCCTCCTGAATAATGTCTCTTGCCAATGTATTGATTGATACTGGGCTAAATAGGTGAGTAACAACCCCGATATGGGTTCTGGGGGGTGGGGTGGTGAGAGTAGGGACATAGATGGCCCTCAGCCTGCCTATATATCCACCTAAGCATCATCTCTCTACCTTAGCCTAGCCCAGCCCCCAGAGTGGGCGGGTTCTCAACTCACCCAGCTTGCTGGCTCTTAGATTTCTCCCAGAGTTCAAGGGTCCATGAAGCGGATTTAACAAGTGTGTGCCTGACAGCCAGGGCCCCACGCCCAGGCGAGAGGCATGGGCTTTGAGGAGATTCTGAAGGAGGTGGGTGGCTTTGGCCACTTCCAGATTCGAAATGTGATGCTGTTGGCACTGCCCCGGATCCTGCTGCCTCTGAACTTCCTCTTGTCGATTTTCATGGCTGCAGTGCCCACCCACCGTTGTACCCTGCCAGCCCAAGACCCTCTTAACAACCTCACCCAAGAGACAGCTTGGCTGGAAGCCTACTTGCCCCGGGAGCTTGATGGTAGCCTCAGCTCCTGCTACCGATATCTCTACCCACTCTCACTCTCCAACACTAGCTGGGGGGAAGGGCAGGACCAACTTGTGCCATGTCCTGAAGGCTGGGAATATGACCAATCACAGTTCTACTCCACTATTGCTACCCAGGTAAGGTTCACTGTCTCCTGTCATACTTGTTGGACCTATCCAAGGCATCAGGCTAAGGAGGATTTCTTAGAATACAGGATCTCTTAGGTCGTGCCAATGCTAAGAGTCTATGGATACTTGAGAAGGACAGAGGGAAGGAGTGACTCACACCAGTCCAAAAGCATGGAAACTTTAAGAATGAAAAGGATAGCCCTATTCCCCTACTTACATATTCCCAGGATAGAGGCAGGGGACCAGATCCAGAGCTGGAAGGGACCCATCCCTTCATTTTACAAAGGAAGTTACCAAGCTCCAGAGAAGTCAACTAATGACCAGGGTCACATAAGTAGTAAATAGTAAAGCCAATATTTGAACCTGGGACTTCTGGTTCTAGACCCAGTGTTCAGTCCACTACCATATGCAACACAAGGGGAGGGAAAGACGGCAGGGGCTGAGGATATAGGAAACGTTCTTGAATGTGGGAGCGAGAGTACAGTGGGATGGAAAGAGTAAGACATTAGGAATAAGGGATCTGAGGTCTAGTCTCGTTAGCTTTGTGACTTTGGGTAAATCATTTACCCTCTCTGAGCCTCAGTTTCCCTCATTTGTCAAAGGAGGTCCCACTAAGGACTCTGCCAACTCTGAAATCCTTTTAGGGGAGGGATTATGTCCTTTTAAAAAAGCCTTTAGTAGCCCCAGCCCTTAGCCCACTTCTTTACATAAAATAGTAGAACAATAAATGTTTGTTGATTATCAAGTCAAGAACAATATAATTATCCCCAGTCCTTGGTCTGGGATGAAAGTAGGAGGTGGATTATATGACCTTGGTGGGAAATAGAAGGGAAAGATGGTTCAAGCCATGTCTTTCTACCTCTCTGTGGGATAAAAGCAAGTGTGGGAGGGGCGAGCATTCTCCTTGGAGGCAGGGTGGTGGGTGATAGACTTCAGAGAGTGGGAGGCTCCAGGGCAGTTGCAGCCACAGTCCTGTGTCCTCTATGGATGCCAGCATAAACTGTCTAGGACAATGGCCAAGGCAGACAGTGGGCAAGGATGCAAGTTCCTGCCTAGGGATACCCTACAACCCCTGCCTCAATCTAGTGGGACCTAGTGTGCGAGCGAAAGGGACTGAATCGTGCCGTATCCACCTTCTTCTTCGCTGGTGTGCTTGTGGGAGCTGTGATCTTTGGATACTTGGCTGACAGGTACCTGGGTGCAGAGGGCCTGGGGTGAATAAGAGAACCAGGGAAGTCAACTGCGCTCTGTGTCCGTCTTGGCCAGACCCAGGCCCCAGGCTCTGATCTCTCTCTGCCTAGGACATGCCCTCCCACTGCCCCACCCCCCAAGCCAGTATAGCCCCACAGCTTAAGGACATACCCCTTCATCCCCTGGCTAGAAGTATGTTTTGGGTTCCATGACTTATTTCCCAGCCAGAAGTCTCCATTCAAGGGGGGAGGGAGCATTGCCTTCTTGATCCCTTGGAAGGCCTGATTCCCGTACGACTCTGATGCCAGGTTTGGGAGACGCCCACTGCTCTTGGTAGCCTATGTGAGCACGCTAGCCCTGGGCCTGGTCTCTGCCATTGCTGTCAGCTACATCATGTTTGTCATCGCTCACTGCCTCACAGGTGTGGCCCTAGCAGGCTTCACTATAATTGTCTTGCCCCTAGGTAAGAGCCTGCCTGGGGGTGGAGGGCTCCAGGGCACAGAGGGAGGAGGGACGGAGTGAGAGACAGCATGCTCCCTGCCCTGGTGTGGGCAAAGGGATGGACAGGGTCTGGTTGGATGACCGGACCATGGCCTGGGGTCCTCGTGGAACCAGGATTTCTGTAGGGATTGAAGATTTCTTTGGGAGGGGGAGGATCAGGTTGGGAGGAGGGGAAGTTTCTGAGGGCCAAGTAATTACAAACTCAGGTCTTTCATCTGTATTTCTTTTTCTCTATCTTTCTCTTTTTCTATTTCCTCTTGTCTGTCCCTATATTGTCTGTCTCTCTCTCCCTATCTCTATCCCTTTTCTATGTCCTTTGTTCTCTCCCTGTCTCTGTCTTCTTCCCTTTCTTTCTGTGTCCTTGGTATCTGGCCCTCTGTGCCTCTGTCTTTCTATCTGTCTCTGCCTCTCTGTCCCTGCCCCTCTTCCTACATCCTTTGCTCCTCTCTCTGTCTCTCTCTGTCTCTGTCTCTCTCCATGTGTGTGTCTCTCTCTGTGTCTCTCTCTATGTCTCTGTGTGTATGTCTCTCTTTGTCTCTGTCTCTCTGTCTCTGTCTGTGTCTCTCTGTGTCTCTCTGTCTCTGTCTCCCTCTCTCTCTGTGTCTCTCTGTCTCTGTCTCCCTCTCTGACTGTGTCTCTCTCTGTGTCTCTCTGTCTCCCTCTCTCTCTGTGTCTCTCTGTCTCTGTCTCCCTCTCTGACTGCGTCTTTCTCTGTGTGTCTCTCTCTGTCTCTCTCTTTGTCTCTGTCTCTCTATATGTTTCTGTGTGTCTCTCTGTCTCTGTCTCTGTCTCTCTCTCTCGTTGTCTCTCCCTCCTGCATGCCCTGCATACCTTCCTGGAATTCAGAGTTAGAGTGGTTAGATGTTGAACATCGCACTGTGGCTGGTGTCCTCAGCAGCACCTTCTGGTCTGTGGGGGTGATGCTGTTGGCTTTGGTTGGCTACCTGATACGAGACTGGCGCTGGCTGCTGCTGGCTGTGACCCTGCCCTGCGCCCTGGGCATCCTCAGCGTCTGGTGAGATGAGTGTGTGGCTATGGGGCATTGAGAACCGAGTAAATCGGGGGAGGAGAGAGTCGTGCAGCCCACTGCGTTCCAAGGCAGAACACTCATGTGGGTGATCTGGTGGGTGGTTTGAACCATCCCTCCCTCACTCTTCCATTCCCTGCACACCTTGGCATTAAGGGCGGGTTTAAAAAAAAACGAGTGAGTTTCTCTAGACACTTGGCATTCAGCCCTGGGATCCCATCCTTACGTATGGCTAAGGCCCAGGGACTAGTTTGATTTGGGGTACCCCTGTTCCCCACCCCATCCCTCCTGCCTGCCCCTCTCGCTATCCCAGGCTCCTCTCTGGTTGAAGTGGTCCACCCTCTGCCTCCTGCCCCCCAGGTGGGTGCCTGAGTCTGCCCGATGGCTTATGACCCAGGGTAGGATAAAGGAAGCCCAACGTTATCTCCTCCAATGTGCAGCGTTCAATGGCCGGCCCCAAGCTAGGGAAAAACTAAGCATTGAGGTAAGGTGGAGCTGGGGCGGGGGGGACAGTCTTGGTTATGGTCTACACCACCTTCACACATACCCCTTGGCCCTTTAGGAATAGGAGGGAAGTCCAATAGACTTGGGGAGCTGGGGCATAAGCATTAGACTCTCCAGTGACTGTCTCTCTGTCTCTCTGTCTCTCTGTCTCTCTCTGTCTCTCTCTCTCTCTCTCTCTCTCTCTCTCTCTCTCTCTCTGTGTCTCTGTGTGTGTCTCTCTCTGTGTCTCTGTCTCTCTGTTTGTCTTTCTCTGTCTCTCTGTCTCTCTCTCTGTCTCTGTCTCTCTGTCTCTGTCTCTCTGTCTCTCTGTCTCTCTGTCTCTCTCTCTCTCTCTGTCTCTTTCTCGTTGTCTCTCCCTCCCCCCCATGCCCTGCACACCTTCCTGGAACCCAGAGTTAGAGTGGTTAAATGTTGGACATCGCACTGTGGCCGGTGTCCTTGGCAGCACCTTCTGATCTTGGGGGGGGGGGGATGATGCTGTTGGCTGCAATGACTACCATTCACCTTTTACCCAGACACTTCATGTACACCCTGTCCCCCAAACCCCACATCCATAGACACATAGGAGGGTAGTGGAAAGAGCTAGGAGACACAGGTTAAGTAATCTGATGGTTACTGATTGTGTGACCTTAGATTGATTGTGTGACCTTACTTCCCTTCTCTGGACCTCAGTCCATCCCAACCCCCCCCAATCCTAAAATGAAGGTGCTGGATATTAGGGAAGCAGAGTATGAGGCAGAGAGGTCTCAAGACTGGAAGATTAGTGGTGCCATTAACAAGACATAGGGAAGTTAAGAGGAAGACAGTTTTTTGGGGAAAGACATTGGGCTGAGTTTTGGACTTCTTGAGTTCGAGGTAATGTTGGGAGGTTGGTTCAAGGAAGAGATGGATTTAGAGGGGACAGAAGACTTAGGAATAGTCAGCCCTGCCATCTACTTGTTGCTCAGTCATGATTTGACTCTCGGTGACCCCATTTGGGGTTTTCTTGGCAAAGATGCTACAGTGGTTTGCCATTTCCTTCTCCCGCTCATTTTACAGATGAAGAAACCGAGGCAAGCAGGGTTAAGTGACTTGCCCAAGGTCACATAGCTAATAAGTGTCTGAGGCCAGACGTGAACTCAGGTCTTCCTGACTCCAGGCCCAGCACTCTATCCAGTGCACCACCCAGCTGCCCCTCTGCCATCTACTATGCAGTGGTATGACCTTGCCCAAGTCACTTCCCTTTCTTAGAAGAAGGAGCCTCAGTTCTTCCTCTCTCTGTGTCAAGCATTTATGAAATGCTTACTATGTGCCAGGCAATGTCCTACACACCAGGGAAACAAAGAAAGTAAAAACAAACAAACAAACAACAAAATGGGAAAAGACAAAGAAATTTGTAAAATGAGTGAGTTGCATCATATAGCCTCTGGGGCTCCTCTCAGCTCTTCCATTCCAGGATTTTGATTCTGTATTTCTCCAAATTCCCACAACCTCCCTGACGATTCTCCTGGGTAAAGTGGGGGCCATCGCCGGTCATCTTGACCTATGTCTTTCCACTAGACTGTGATGACTCTGGAGGGGAGAGTGAGGCTGATGACTCTGCACACCTCTGCCTCACTTAAATCCATTCACTTGCAAGTCAAGACAGCACCCTCCTGATTCACTGGTCCTCTTTGAGAAGGAAGGACGAACAACACCAATCTGGGTAAATCCCTTTTCCCAATCCCAGGCCCTGAGTCTGATGGCTGAAAAGGAAAAGACGGTTAGAAGGCCTTCCTACCTGGACTTGTTCCGGACACCCCGGCTCCGGCACATTTCCCTGTGTTGCATGGTGGTGTGGTGAGAACTGGGGCCCCATCCTGAAGGGGGCACAGCTAGGGTGGACTCCCCTGCCTGGGTTCTCTGAAGGAAAAGGCAAAAGGGTCTATCTTAAAGGGACTGGTTCTAGAAAAGTCCAGCCTGAGAGAGGGTGAGATTGCGGAGGGCCCAGACCCAGGCCAGTTCTAGGGCCCGGGGTAGTAGAAGGGTCTTGTGGGTGGGGAGGGTGTAAATTGGTGAAGGATAAGTGAAGGAGGAGAGGTCCCAGGGGAGGATTATAAAGAGGGGTACAGAGTGGATTGTGTGAGGGGGTGCCTGAAAGGAAGGCAGGAGGATGAGGGAGTCAGCAGGGCAGTGAGGTCTGAAAGAAGGAGGCATCTGAGAGGTAGGTCTCAGGGAGGATCTGGGGAGGGGGATGAGGAGGGGCGCTTTATGAGAAATGAGGGGAATTTGAGGGGAGTGTGTGAGCCAGGGATTACAGTGTCACAGACCCTCCTCCTCCCGTCATCATAGGTTTGGGGTGAACTTCTCATACTATGGCCTGAGCCTGGACCTGTCAGGGCTGGGGCTGGACCTGTACCAGACGCAGCTGCTGTTTGGGGCAGTGGAGGTGCCCTCCAAGATGATTGTCTACCTGTCAGTGCGCTACACAGGGCGCCGCTTCACTCAGGTGGGGACCCTGCTGGGCACTGCCCTCTGTGTGGGCACTAATCTGCTACTGCCCTCCGGTGAGTCCCCAGGAATTCTTCCTTAGACCCACTGTACTGCCAGATTTCAGACGCCCCCTGTACTTAGCCCTATTCTCTCTCTCTGAGATAATATTTGTAAAGTGCTTAGTGCCTGGCATATAGCAGGTGCTTGATAAATAATTGTTTTCTTTGTCCCTTCTTCCTTTCCTGCCTTCCTCCTTCCCTCCCTTTCTTCTTTCCTTCCTTCCTTCTTTCATTTCTTCCTTCCTTCCTCCCTCCCACCTTCCCTCTCTCCCTGATTTTCCTTTTCCCTCTTCCATCCCTTGGAGGCTAAATTCTCTCCTTTTGTCGGGGATCTTTGATGTACTAGAAAAGAGTACTGGACTAGGAGTGAAGACCTGTGGGTTCTAGTTCTGCCTTGACTACCATCTGATTCTTTGACCTTGGGCAAGTCATTTCTCCCAGTCCAGCCCTAAGTTCCCTCATCTGTAAAATGGGGCTGGGCTAGATGATCTCCAAGCTTCTTTTAAGGTCTAAATCCTACGCTTGCAGCTGTGATCCTTCTAACTCTTCAAAGTCCCATGGCTCTATGATTCTGAAAAGCCTCACTCTTCTTGTGAGATGCCTGCTACCTGCTCCCCTCCCCGACTTCTCCCCTCTTTGACAAGCAGCCCAGAGAAGGTCCCCAGTCACTCCCCAGCATTCTTCTTCCTTCCAGAGTCGGTGACGTGGAGATTAGTCCTGGGAGTGGCTGGAAAAGGCTTTTCAGAAGCAGCCTTCACAACTGCCTTCCTGTTCACATCAGAGCTGTACCCCACTGTACTAAGGTGTGTCTGGGACTTAACTACCAATGTTCACCTCTTCTCATTTCAGTCCTATGCCCCATCAGAGCTTCACCTAGGAACACATCTCCATATTCTACCCTACTTCTCCACCCTCTCAGGTCTCTCTCTTTCTTCTCTGTCTCTTCTCTCTTTTCCTCTTTCTCTCTCATGAACACATTTACACACACAAACATATATACACACACACACACACCACTCTGTCTAAACTTTGCTACCCAGGGCCATACCCAGCAGTGGGTATGCCCAGCAAACATCAGAACTAGTCTGTCTAAGTACCTGGAAGGAAACAAGGCTCTGTTGTTAGGTCCGTCTCTGTTTAGAAGAGTATGGAAATCTAGGCTCTTCCTCCCCCCCTGTGCCTACTACATGACCTTCAGCCTCATCTATAAAATGCAGTTAAATTGAATTGAACAAACATCTGTGAGGCTTAAATGGATGAGATCTACAAAGTACTTTGTAATTGGGAAGGACTACTCTGGAGGGTTTGCCAGAGAAGGATCAGAGTAAAGGGGAAATATTGAACCTCAAGAAATGACTTTGGAAGAGGAGAGCTGTCTTCAAGCACTTAAAATGTTGTTAAGTGGATAGAGCACTGATCTTGGAGTCAGCAGGACCCGAGTTCAAATCTACCCTCAGATATTTATTAGCTGTGTGATCTTAGGCAAGTCACTTAACCCCAATTGCCACCAAAAAAACCCCCAAACACCCCCTAAAACCACCAGAACAAACAAACAAACAAAAAACACAACACTGTTAAGAGAATAGGGATTAGAGTTGTTCTGCTAGGTCCCAGAGATTGCAATTAGAATTAATAGGTGTTGGATAGAGTACCAGCCCTGGAGTAAGGAGGACCTGAGTTCAAATTTGACCTCAGACGCTTGACATTTCCTAGCTGGGTGACCCTGGGCAAGTTACTTAATCCCAATTGCCTTGCAAAAAGAAAAAAAAAAGAATTAATAGATAAAGGTTCAAAGAGGCAGATTTAGGCTCAATTTAAGGAAAGATTTCCTAACAATTGGAGCTATCCAGAAGTGGACTGGGCCAGCAAGGGGCAGAAAAGGGCGAGGTAGTCTTACCCTCACTGGAACTCTGTACAGGGTGTCCCAAAAGTCTTAGTGAGTTGATAAGTTAAAACGACCTTAATATTTTTGTGACACCCCATGTATGAAGGCTAGAATTGTCACAGATGGAGTTTCCTCCCAGCTTTAAGTTGGCATGGAGTTGACTGGGTCATTCCTGAAGTCCTATCCAACTCTGGGATTCTGGGACATAAAGAGCAGCTACTGATATGGTTTGTTCACTGCCTATCGGGCACTTGGATCGTATGCTCTGCCTGCCTCCCAGGGCTGTGGGAGCAGAGTTGGAGTGAGACTGAGAACACAGGACCATGAATGGGGGCAGACCTCCCTGCTTCAGCAGTGAGCCAGGAGGATGCTGGGTGCAAACAGGGGATAGCTAGCTCCCAGCTGATACTAAAAAGATCCAACATTCAAATAACAAGCATCAATCCTCCCTGCCCTTACTCCATTTTCAATACATATTTTATTTCTTCCTCAATTATATGTTAAAACAATTTTTAAACACTTCTTTTTTTAGATTTTGAGCTCCAAATTCTATCCCTCTCTCCCTGAGAATGTAAGCAATCAGATATAGGTTATACAAGTGCCTTACTTCACTTTTAAAAATAGGTGGGAGTCTTTCCCCTTCTTGAAAAAGGTTGTCCTTTTAAGACTTCTATTCCTATTCAGAGCCGTCCTGGTGTTCATTTTAATCTGACCCCAACTGTTTATAGGCAGCTAGGTGGTGCAGTAGGTAGAGCATAGGCCCTGGAGACAGGAAGACTCGAGTTCAAATGTAACCACAGACACTAGTTGTGTGACCCCGGGCAAGTCACTTAACCTTGTTTGCCTCAGTTTCCTCATCTGTAAAATGAGCCAGAGAAGAAAATGGCAAACCATTCCAGTATCTTTGCCAAGGAAACCCCAAATGGGGTCATGAAGTATTGGACATGAATAAAACTACTCAGTAACAATAAAACAACTGACCATCGCCACCAACAACCTGTGTATGGGCATTAGGAGAAGAGGGGAGGTAAAAAGCCTTATCCAGCACAAAGCTTTGGTCCTGAGGATCAAATGACATGAGTGAGGGAATTTCCTCCATATTTTATATATAGTCTTAGAAAGTTGCCCGTGGCTAAGAGAGATGCTCAAGAGGATTTGTCCACAGTCACCATAGCTACTAAATATCAGAGGCATGATTTGAACCTAGGTCTTCCTGATTCCCAGACCCTGCATTCTACCTATTACATTGCCTCTGAAATAAGATAACGAATGAGAAAATGCTTTGGAGAGTGGCTTGATGGAAAGAGCTCTGGATTTGCAGTCTGAAGACCTAGGTTCTAATCTTGACTCTGACTACTCACATATTTCCCCTCTCTAGGACTGAGGTTCCTGACCTCTCAAATGAGGGGGCTTGGACTAAATGATCCCTTTCAATTCCTACCAGTGTGAGAGATATGGAGGAGGACGAGGACGAGGACAAGGATGAGATGCTAGATTTAGAGTGGTTTAAATCTGAGCTCTGCCGCTTCCTAGCTATGTGACCTTGGGTAGATCTCTTAATCTCTTTGAGCCTCAGTTTCCCCATCTGTAAAATAGGGATAATGTGTGTGTGTGTGTGTGTGTGTGTGTGTGTGTGTGTGTGTGTATTCTCATTATCCAGGGTAGTGATGGTAAGGATCACTTATATGTGTCATCCTCTCTCTGGGACTCAGTTTCACCATTTGCCAAGAACTAGATGATCTCTTATAGCTCTTTATCCTATTGAACCTCTGTAATTAGTGAAGGATGTCCTGCAGTTTATCAGTTGAACCATGATAAAGTGAGCAAGTTGTCCATCAGTTGGTCAGAGGTGGGTGGCTTGAGGCTCACCACCTCCCTCTGAATCTTTTGTTCTCCTGCTTCCCTGGCACAGACAGACAGGCTTAGGACTGACATCTCTGGTGGGCCGGCTGGGGGGCTCCCTTGCACCACTGGCCATGTTGCTGGAAGGGACATGGCCCCCGCTGCCCAAGATCACTTATGGTGGGACTGCCCTTTTGGCTTCGGCCACTGCCCTCCTGCTGCCAGAAACTCGCAATGCAGAGCTTCCTGAGACCATTCAGGATGTGGAGAAAAAGAGGTATATTGTCTGGATTTGGGTTTAGGGGACTAGGGATGGAACAAACCCTGAGACTTTGATGAGGAGCTTTTATGGATTCCTACATCCTCACTTTCAAGAGAGTAGCTCTGCTCCAGACTGGGCCAGTGGGAGAGAAGGCTGAGGAGGTGTGGGGAGGAAGGCCCAGGTTGGGGAGTGACAATGGATTGCCCACCTCTACTGTATGGCTTCCTCTTCCTCAGGACCTTGTCAGACCTCCAAGAGGAGGGGATACCCATGAAGGCACTGCAAGATTAAGATGGGAAGAATCATGGTATTGGGCAAAGAGTAACATGTGGGACCAAGAATCCTGGCTCTGCTAACTGCTATGAGGAATGGCTTCCGTTTCCTCATCCGCAACATAAGAGGGATTAGATTAGCTCTCCAAGGTCCCTTCCAGCTCTGAATCCTATGATACTATAAAAAAGCAACAATACCATCTCTTTCCAGCAAGGAGTGATGGACTGACAGACCCCACCCCCACTGCAGGATGGGGCAGATCTGCAGCCACAATGCACCAGGCTATCCTAACACCCTTAAAGAGTTGGGACCGAGTGGATAGAGCACCGGCCCTGAAGTCATGAGGACCTGAGTTCAAATCCGGCCTCAGACCAAACACTTGACACTTACTAGCTGTGTGACCCTGGACAAGTCACTTAACCCCAATTGCCTTAAAAAAAAAAGAGTTGGGACAGACTTTAGAGACAGCCTAGCCCTAGCCCCTTGACATCCCCCAGAGCCTCTGCTTAAATACCTCTAGTAAGGGGGCTGCCCACAGGTCATCTCCCTGATGCCTACTTGAGATGTGTGGATAAAATAGCTCCCATTCTCCATTCTGGGGACAGGGTTACTGGGCAAGACGAGGGGGAAAGAATGTTGGACCAGGAGTCAAAAAAACCTGGTTCTAGTCCCAGTTCTATTATGTAGTCTAGTGGACTTATTTCCTCCCTTACTTGTAGAAGGGGATAACACCACCTGCCCAGCCTACCTCACAGGGCTGTTGTGAGGATCAGAAAAAAGAATACATATCAAGTTCTTTGGAAAGTAGAAGGCCCTTGTATTGTAAGTACTCTGGTCACCTGGAGTAGCTGGGCACATCCACAGCCCTGTCTCCGGTGAAGCCCCAGTTCAGGGGGAAGAAAGGCAGGAAAGGCAGCTACAGGGACTGGGATTCTTTGTCGGTCCCCAGAAAAAAAGGGCTACCTCCTCTCCATGGATGCTGCAGCCTGGAACTGCCCTACTAATGTGGCTGCCTCACACTCCCTCTCCCAGGAGGAACACTCAGTAGGCTTCTCTCTATTCCCCTCTTCCCAGACAGTCCTCCCCTGCTATGCCCCACCCTGGACCCCAGCTTCCTAGGCCTAATGCCAAGACAAGGGGAAGCTGAGATCAAAAGAGCAGACTCTTTTATTGGGTGAACTTCAAGGAAGGGGAGGGGAAAAGGTAAAAGTGCAGGGACACCCACAGAGAAAGGTGGCCATTCCTTGATGTCACTGAAGGGAGGGGATGGCACTGCCACCAGGGCAGCCCTGTCATGATTCCCCTCCTCCCCAATTCTTCCTCACGAACTTGGGCTGTTCTGAATCCAAGGTCTAGGGAACATGCTGAGTTTCACAGGAAGAGGAAGGGCATCCTCTCCCTCTTCCTCTACTGCCACCTCTCATCCCTCCATCATCGGATGCATGGGGATAAGTGCAAGCCACCAACCAGGATGGGGAATGGGGAACGAAGCCTGAGGCTACCTGGAACAAAGGCTCCTGTCCAATCTGACAGGATGGAAATCTCTGACCCTCTTGTTCAACCTGGGACATGGGGAGAGCCTAGGAGGGACCCAGGACAGGGAAAACACATTCCTCCGTCGGCTTCTCAATCAGATTTCAACTCTATGGAGTCATAGATGTAGCAGCCCACGTCACCAATGTTCACACCTGGAGGGGTAAAAGAGTAGAGTCACCAAAGGCACTGGGGAGGGGAGGGGGAGACACTGGGGGAGAAGGGAAGAGGGAAGAGGTATACGTGCCAGAGGGAAGGAAACTAGGGAGACAGTAGGAGAGAAGGGAAAGGAGGGCAGTAAGGAAGAGAGAGGGTAGGGGACTGGGAAGAAATGGGTGTACATGAAGGAGAAGGCATTTTAAAATACAAGGGAACTACATGCAAATCATGCATAAGCTATGCAAATGAAATGCATATCAGCTTGGGTATTTCTGGGGTCGGGGCTCCCACCTTTGGGCCCAAACAGGTATCCGTAGCAAGGAATGTGGCAGTACGGGAAACCATCGTGCTGGGAACACAGCGGGAACTTGGTTTAGTCCTACCCTAAATTCTTCTGCCCCGCCTAGTCTCCACTTTTCTTCCAGGGCTCTCTCCAGCTTCCTGAGTCTCCCCTGCTCCCACTTCTCCTTCTTTCCCCTCCAGAGGTTACCTACAGCTTCACTCAAATCATTTACTTTTTCTGAGCCTCAGTTTCCCCATCTATGAGATGGAATGGGACTAGATAACCTGTCTCTCATGTTCTGTGGCTCTGGGGTTGTAGGAGAACTCTGAGACACCTCCCCCAATTTTGCCTGTTTCTGGCTCCCAATCTTCCCATGGCTCTCACCGTCCCACCTGCATTAATCCCCTGGCTTACCTCCGCGTGGCTCCCTGCTGTTAGGGTTTTGCGGCAGCGCTGGCATCGGAGACAGGGCCGATGCCAGTTCCTGCCCAGAGACATCACCTTCTCAGCTAGTAGAAAGAGAAGTCATGGTACCCAGAGGATGGCTAAGGGGTTGTTCCCTGTGCCTGGGCAAGAGTAACAGGAGGAGGAGGGCTCTGATCCCCCCTCCCATTCTCATGCAGTCTCTCCCAACCTCATTTCTGCCCAGATCTGCCTCTGACCCACTACTCCTACCTGAACTCACCAAAGTAAACGGGGTTCCCACAGCCAGGACACAGAGACGTCTCGCCAGCATACGTCTTCACCTGTGTTGGGCCTTAGGAAACAAGAGACTTTGGCTGGGCCTGGGGCTGGGAGCAATCTGCCCAAAGCCCTTTCTCATCATCACCAGAACTGGGCAAAGGGATAGTCTGCTGAAGGGGCTAGTGCTTCTCTCCATTAAGAGCCCAAGTTTAAGGGGTGGAAAGTAGAGGCTTGACCCACCCATGAATTGTCCTACTCCGTTATCCCATCTTCCTGCCCCACCCTTACACACACACACACACACACACACACACACACACACACACACACACACACACATACACACCCCGTATCTCCGTATCATCCCCTCACCCACCTTCCTTCCTATTCCATTAGGGGCCCTGGTCATTCTCCTCTTCGATGCCAAGGTGCCAACCCCCTCTTGCCCGCCTGCCTGGCCCCAATCTGCAGCAACTCAATCCCTGAGAAACTTGAGCTGGACATTGGAGCTGGGGCTCAGGGCAGGTGGTGTCGGGTGTTGAAGAACTCGGTGTCACTGCCTATTTGGGCTGGGGAGGAATGGGAGGGAGTAGAGGCAGAGGGGACAAATAGGTGGGGCTGTGCACGTATTCCCACCCCAAAACTCCATACACAGGCAATGAGAAGAAGGGCAGAAGTTAAAAGACAAAGATCACTATTGCCACATCTTTCCATAATGCTGGACTGAGTGACCTGGGTTTTATCCCAGATTAGCCACTGAATAGCTGTGTGACCTCGGTCAAGTCCAGTTTATTAACCTCTCTACACCTCAGTTGCCTCATTAAATTCAACAAATATTACAGGGGTTTATAAACTGAGTGGGAGCTTAGAAATGAGGAAACGGAAGACCTTACAAGAGAAATGACCTGTCCAAGGTCACACAGATATTAAGAAGCAGATCCATAATACAAAGTAGTTTCCAACTCTCTCTGCTATGCACTAATTTGTTTCTTCCCACTGCCTTGAAGTGTGCCACACACAGCAGATGATTAATAAATACGTTATAATAATTATGTAATATATACACGTTATATAGAAATAAAATTAACATATAAATATCATAACAAATATAACATATATAATATGTGTGCAATATATAGAAACAAAATAACTTTATAAGATTAATACATTATTATAAACAGAAAACATATATTCTATAAATATATAAAATAAAATAAATATTATTATAATAAAATATAATAAATATTTGATTTATTTTATATATTTATATATTATATATATTGCATAGGTAAAGATAAACAAGGCCTAAACAGGCAAAAATGGGAAGTCTTCTAAGTGTGTCTCTGAAGGCCCTATTCTCTTCTTTCTGTGATGTATTCTGCCCACAGCTGGGGCCCCCATCCCTCGGCTATGACATAGAGTATGTGAAGGGGATTAGGCAGGAAGGGTAGGTTGGGACTATATGGGTGTGGGGTTTAAATCCCCCACTGAAGAATTTTTTGTTTTTTCTTACAATAGGAGAAGACCCAGGGATAATAGGAAGCCCCTGAACATTTCTGCCCCTTAATAGTGAGGTAAGGAATGAGAGGTGAGAAGCCTGAGCTAGAGGCCATCAGAATGGAGAGAAGGGGATGAATTAGACAGATGCTTTGGAGATGGAATCAATAAGATTTGATGACTGATGACACATGGGCCAAGTAAAGGAAAGGGAAAAATCAAAGCGCTCCAAGGTTGTGAACCTGGGTGAGCAGAAGGAAGGCATTCTCAACAGAAATAGGTAAGTCAAGGTCAGGGGAAGGATGGAGAGGAGGGGAGGTTTAGATCAAAACATAGTAGTTTCTGTTTGGACATGTGGAGTTTGAGATGCCAATGGTACATCTATGAGGAGTTGTCCAGCAGCCAGTTGTAAATATAGGACAATATTTCAAGGTGGGGGGGGGAGATCTGAGCTGGACACAGATGCCATGACAGCAGAGAAATCACCCTGCCCACCTCACAAAACTGGCATAAATATCCAATGAGAGAGATTGGGAATGGATTTGTGATCTCATTGGTAAAAGGAACTCCAAAGTGAGCAAACTCTCTGTGCCAATTCAGGTCAGCACCTTCCAGCCCAACCCTCTTATAGCCTTAGAGCAGAGGTGTCAAACTCTGACAGCTCCAATCAGATTAAAATGTAATTGAGAAATGTTTAATAAAATAAACAAAAATATAATACAGCATACAAAATGTCAACCTGTGGTTTCGTAAGTCAATATGAGGGCCACAGGGATCTGTTTTCTATTTGAATTTGATGTTGCTGGTCTTAAGAGAGTTGCCCAGAGCATAGAGAGATTTGCCCAAGACCACACAGCCAGTATGTCAGAGTGGGACTCCAACCATGTCTTGAAAAGTGCTTTGGAATATATGACAGGAAGTGGCATAAATATTGCTATTATTTCTGACCCCAGAGATGAGGGTAGGTGATGAGGGTATTGGAGTGGAAAACCTCCTTTCCCAGTAATTCTGAACTCCCTGCTACCCCAGAAGGGGCAAGACGCTGAGTTAGGGGTGAAGTTTTTCTGATGCCATATACTCCACTTACTCAAAAAGGGCACTTACTCCTCCTTGCCCTCTTGGCCAGAGGGAGGCCTGTCCTGCTCCTAGGTGGGCTAAAGCTGCCTGCAGTCAAGGGCATGGTGGTGATGGTGGTTGGAGGACGGGGAGGATCTTCCATGTAGGAGCCCACCCCACCAATTTTGATTCCTGAAACCCAGAACAGAAAGGAAGAAGAGAGTAGGGGGTGAGAATGGGGGTATCCAAGTATCCTCAGAAGATGCCCCTTGCCCAGCCTCAATGTCCTTTCTGGGAGCTACTCCCTGCCCCTTCCCAAACCCATGGCTCCAGTTCTCAGGACTATCTCGTCATATCCCCTCTTTTCAGGTCAGGATGAGACACTGCACTCTACTGCTCTCCTTCCCTCCCTCCATCCCTTGTGGGGACAGGCACTTACCCTGGGGTCCAAAGAGAACTGCATAACATGGTTTGTGACAATATGGCTTTCCGTTATGCTGAATTCAGGGAGAAAGCAGAAATTGGGAAAAGTGGTGAAGTCACTGCAGAGATCCTACGGGGAATTTCACAGGGGACCCCCACCTCCACCCCATGT